TCTAACCCAGGTCCCTGCTGATGGCCCGGAGAAGCAGCGGAAGACGGCCCAGGTGCTTGGGGCCCTGGCACCCACATAGAAGACCCAGATGAAGCTCCTGGCTCCCAGCTCTGGCCTCGCTCAGCCCTGGCCATTGTGGCCACTTGCTGATGCAAGATTCTCTCTGTGTCTTTCCCTCCCTCTCTCTCTGCAACTCTGCCTTTCAAATAAACAGAACAAACAGTTGGGGGGGGAGAGGGAGGGGGGAAGATGGGGGGAGAGAAAGGCCTTAGAACCCAGCAGGAGGGGATCAGCTGTGTGACTTCAGGTGCACCCCTCACTCTCTGGGCCTCAGCGTCCCAATCTGGGAAATGGGCTGGGCTGCATAAAATCTCCATCATGGAACATGAGTGGGTCAAGCCCTTCGTGAGGGGAGACTGGGCCCAGGCTAGGAGGCCCCACCTGGGGGGTCACCTGTGTGGCCCAGATGGCCCACGGAGACCCCTACTCCAGCACAGTGGGAGAAATCACCTCTCTGGCCCCCACTCCCTGCCTCCCCTCTCACTGGCAGAGCTGGAGCCTGAGTAGAGCCGCTAACCTGGAGGGACCCGAGTCTGGCAGGGTGGGGCAGGGGGGTGGTTGAAGCCCCTGGTGGTCCGGGAGCAGCAGGTGCCCTTGCCCACCCAGAGGCCTTGGCGCTGGCTGCTGGCCTGACCGCCGGGGTAGCACACCCAGCTGGCCATCAGCGTGCGGTGGAAGCCTCTCTCGGGGACGCTGGCAGGTGCAGGGATGTCCTGTGTCCCTTGCTGGGGGGCTGAGGGGGGCACCATGGGTAAAATGGTGAGGGCCACAGGGCGGGCTCCACCCCCTTCCCACCAGGTCTGGCCGCCCTGCCCAGGCCAATTCCCCAGTGCACCTGCCCCAGACCACGCCCACCTGACCTCGCTCCTCCCAGCCTCACCTGGGGATGGGGGGAGGTGGGGACGAGGACCTGGTCTGGGGGCCAGAGGGGCCTTCGTGTCCAGCCTTGCTGCCCAGAGCTCAGACCCCACCCTCCCCCGACAGCACCTGCCACAGCGCCCCCAGCCCACCCCCACATGGAGAGGAGCAGGAAGGTGGGTGGGCTTGGTGCTGCCTCCTGCAGCCCCCCTTCCACTCCAAAAGCCCAGGCCAGGGGGCCAGGGGAGCGGGGGACGGGGCTTCATCCCTTGGCCCTCAGCAGGTGGCAGGTGCCTACTATTTGCTTAATGAGGGAGAGCAGTGGCACAGCCAGGGTGGGGGAGGGAGTGGGGGTGGGGTTGTGTCTCCACCTTCCCACCAGTTTGGGATGGGGGGGGCAGTCATTGGGTGGCAGCTGTTGAGCCAGGGGCTGAGTCCTGGCCCTGAGTCCCACCGGGGACGTCCCACCTGCCTCCTACAGAGGAGTGCTACAGCGATTGTGCACCCGGGTCAGCCACCCCCCTGGGGGACCTAGACTGGCCCAGCCCTGGGGCGAGCTGCAGGACGGGTGACCTGGGGGCTGTCTCCCCAGACCACCCAAACCCCAGCCCCCAACCCCCCCATCCGCAGGGGCCTCTGGAGTCAGCTGGGGAGGTGGGGTGTCGTCTTCCTGCCTGAGCCACAGGGGCACCCTTGCTCCGCCCCCACCCCACTCACCCAGTCCCGTCCCCGGCTAGACCTGGGGCAGCAGCAGCTGGAACCGTCAGTCCCTCTCGGAGCCCCACAGCCAGGCCCAGCTTCCGGGCTCGGCATTCGCACGGGGCTGGGGTTGGCTGCTTCCGGCCCCTCCCAGGTGCCCCTTCCTCCTAGGCAACCGGCTGGGGGCCCAGTCCGCAGGCCCAGGGAGGGGGTCTAGGGACAGCAACCCCCTTCTGTCACCAAGCCGAGCCCGGACACCCCCACCCCACTCCAGAGGGCCAGGGAGGGGCCGCCTGGGCCCCGCTGACCCTGTGAACTCTCTACGCCCTCCGAGCCCCAACTCTGTGATACGAAACTCCTTTTAGACAAGTACAATTTTTAAAAAGTTTTTTTTTTTTTTTAATTTATTTGAAGGGCCGGCGCCGTGGCTCAATAGGCTAATCCTCCACCTTGCGGCGCCGGCACACCGGGTTCTAGTCCCGGTCGGGGCGCCGGATTCTGTCCCAGTTGCCCCTCTTCCAGGCCAGCTCTCTGCTGTGGCCAGGGAGTGCAGTGGAGGATGGCCCAGGTGCTTGGGCCCTGCACCCCATGGGAGACCAGGAAAAGCACCTGGATCCTGGCTCCTGCCATCGGATCAGCGCGGTGCGCCTGCTGCAGCGGCGGCCATTGGAGGGTGAACCAACGGCAAAGGAAGACCTTTCTCTCTGTCTCTCTCTCTCACTGTCCACTCTGCCTGTCAAAAAAAAAAAAATTTATTTGAAAAGGAGAGTTGCAGAGAGAGAGAGTGAGCGAGTGAGAGAGAGCTTCCATCCGCCGTTCACTCCTCAAATGACCCAACAACTCGGGTTGGACCAGGCTGGGTCTCTCGCGTGGTTGGCAGGGGCCAGGTACCTGGGCCATCGGCAGGGAACTGGATACGAAGCAGGGGAGCCGGGACGGAATTGGCACTCCCATGTGGGACAGGGCACCGATCGGAGCGCTCCGACTAGTTGCTATAGAAATGTCTGTAACCATAGAAACGGGGAAGAACCAGAGAGCAGGCATCGGGCTCAAGTGCGTGTCCCACGGAGCTGAGATTCCTGGCACAACAGCGGGGACAGGGCGTAACCCACGTGCTGGGGTGGGGGCCGCTGATGCAAACACTCCGGCGGCACCGCCAGGCTGTGGGGCGGGCGCTGTGGACGCCAGCATCCCGGAGTGAGGGGCTGGGGTCAGCTCCCTGCTGACACACCTGGGAGGCCGCAGGTGACGGCTGAACGACCCTGGGCCCCTGCCACCCACTCGGGAGATCCAGGTGGAGTCCCGGCCCCAGCCATTGCAGGCAGTGACGGAAGATCTGTCTCTCTCTGTCTCTGTCACTCTGCCTTTCAAACAAGTAAAAAGTACAGGGGTGCAGCTGTGCAGAGTAGAGAACACTGGACAGTGACGACAGGCGACTGTGTTACTGGCTTCTGGACGTACGATCTGCATTTTGCGCCGTGGACCTTGGGTTCTATGACACTGTCCCCAGGGGCCTCGCTGGCTACAGAGGGGACATCCCCAGGCCCCCTTCCCCTGGGGACCAGCTGCACCCAGGCCTGGCCACCTGCTGAGCGTTCTGGACTCCTCTCCTTCCTCTGCCACCCCCAGCACACCCCCCCACACACGCATCATGGCAGGGCAGCTCCCCAGTGCCCTCGGCTCCTCCTCCTCCCCCCCTCAGCCCCACTAACTCCACCCTCCCTTCAAGACATGGCTCAGGGAGGTAGCCACTTGGGACTCCCACATCCCATATCCGGCGGCCTGGGTTCAAGTTCTGCCTCCGTTTCCAATTCCGGCTTCCTGCTAATTTGCATACTGGGAGGCAGCTCAAATTGGTGGGTCCCCGCCACCCACGTGGGAGACCCCGGATGAAACTCCTGGCTACCCCCTCCGCCCCCGCGTGACCCCTGGGGTCAGCAGGTTGCTCTGGGTTGCCCCGCCCCCTGGTCCTCCCGGCCACGCCTCTCACATGGACAGAGCAGTGAGCAGGGTCTCCGGGGGGTGGCTGACCAGGGCTGGGCTGGGGGGCTTTTAACCACGTCCCGGGGGTCGTGGGCTCCACCGCCCTGTGCACTCCCAGGGGCGGGCTCCACCTGCAGAAAGGCACCCGGGACACCTGGGCTTGGGGGGTCTGCGAGGGGCTGGGGTCGCGGGAGAGGTCTGCAGGCACCAGGGAGTCCTGGGCTCCCCCGAGACGCGGCCCCGGGTGCCGAGCGCATTCAGGGCCACAGGGAGGAGCCAGCCGATCCGCATTTATTAACGAGGGCCCGCGCCGGGCTCCTGAGGGAGCTGGGACACTGGGTTCCGTCGCGGCGTGCAGCGGGCAAGCCCGGGGGCCTCCGCTTCTCCAGGCCGGTGGTCCGCACCTCTGCAGGCCTGTGAATACGAGTGCGCTTGCGCGCGGACATCTGGCAGTGGTGCACCAGCGCCCCCGTGTGGCTGAGGCGGGAAGTACCGGCCTTGGGGACGAGCTGTGGTTTGCTGGTTTGGAGCGCGCATTCTTGCGGGTGATGGGGGCGGGGATGCCAGCGAGCCTGATGGGGCCCCAGGGCAGTGAGCTGTCCAGGGTCAGAACTGGCTGTGCTGGAGGTCCCGTGTCTACCACTGCATACAGCAGGTGCTCAGGGGAGTGGATAAAGGCATGAGCCAGGGGTTTGTGCAAGAGGGTTGGAGGTGGGGGTGGACTGATTCTCCCCTCTCCTGCCATGGCCCATCCCCACAAAGGGCCTGAGTCCATGGACAGTGGAGATGTCCCAGAAGCCCTCACCCCGCCCCAGCTGCCGACGGGCAGGACAGAGGGACAGAGCAGGCTCAGGCCGACGGTGCGCACAGACAGCCCCCTGCCCTCCGCAGGCCTCCTGGGATGAGCAAGCTTCCGGGCAGGGCACCCTGTCCACCTGCCTCCCTATCAGGAGAGCTCAGGCAGAAGAGAGGTAGGGACAGGGTGGGCCTGGCCACGGCGCTGCCCTGGGAGCATGCTGGGCACAGAGACCAGCTCAGGGGCTGAGGCTGGGGAGGGGGTCCGGGCCCGGCTCACAGCCCACGGGCAGAGTGGCAGCCTCGCTGGGCGGGATGTGATGGGTCGCGTAGCGCGTCTGTCTGAAGGAGCCAATCCGCAGCTGCTCAGGGGTCTCGCCCGGCCACCACAGGCTGGAGCTGGACGGGGAGAAGAGGGAGAGGCACCACGTCCCTGTTGCTGTGCCCCTGGGCAGCCGGACGCCTGCCTCCTCCAGGAAGCCGCCTTGACTATCCTGGCATCAAAGCCAGGCGGAGAAGGGCAGGGCCAAAGACAGACACCCCGGAACCTGCCCCGAGCGAATCCCATGGCCCAGCACCCGAGCCGCAGTGTGGACAGAGGGTGGGAGAGGGGCCCATGGTGGGGGGTGTTACCACTCACAAGCGCACGGTGGAGGCAGCCAGGAAGGCCAGCAGCAGGAGGCCGGCCAGGGTGCAAAGAATGGAGGTGATGACGATCATGCCACCGCTGCGCCGTCCCGGCCACGTGTCGATGGTGCCCGGGGCCTGCCCTACACACAGGGGCTGCTCGCAGGCCGCCGGTCCCCTGCCTCCCTCAGCCCCGTGTCCGCACAGCCCAGGGCTCCCAGCCCCCTAGTCCCACCTCCGCAGCCTGGCGCAGGGGGAGGGCCCAAGGGAGCACCCGACCCCCAGGGGCTACCTTGGCGCAGAGTGATGGGGTCCGACCACCTGGTCTCGGCCACCGGGGAGCCACCGGCGTCCATCAAGAGGAACTTCACTCTGGGGACAGGGATGCAGTGGGGGACGAGGGGTGAGACTCAGGGCAGCCGGGCCCAGAGGTGGAGGTGGGGCTGTGGCCAGGGGTGAGCGGGAGCCACGGACCCGGCTGCTGGCACCGAGGGGAGCTGGCTCTGGTGGCCGCTGGGGGCGGGGGTTAGGCTGGAGGCTACACCACTGGCAGGGTAGGTGAGAGGGCAGTAGGAGGCGGTGGCCAGGCGCTGTCCTGCTCCCCCCACGCTGGGGGCCAGCTCCAATCTGCAGACACCTGCCTCGCCCCCACTTGCCGCCGCTGCCCCACACCAAGGGTGCCAGGCTGCTTTCCCAGGCTGGGTTCAGCGCCAAGTTTAGCTTCTTGTTGGGATCCAGCCTGAAGCCACTTGGCTAAGCCGGTTCCCACCTCTGTCCCTCGGACCTCCTGCCCCTGCAGTGGAGGGGTGGGGAGCAGGGGTGAGGAAACCATGGCGGGGGGAGGGGGAGGGGCAGACACTGGACTGCAGCCAGGAAGGGGTGGGGCCCTGAGCTCCCCGTCCTAGACACCCCTCCCCCCAGAGACAGCCCCAGTGCCAGAGCCCTCCAGGGGGGTGTGGGGTGGGCAGGGGCAGGACCCCCACCTGTAGGGCCCCGGCCGGGGAGCGGGCGTTGCAGTACAGCCGCTGCCGACAGCCGAAGTCATTCCCCACCCGCAGCAGGGCGACAGGGCCACCGCCCCCCGGGGGGTCCTCACAGGGCAGCTGGGCCAGCGACAGGGGCAACGTCATGTAGTGGCCGTGGGTGTGCAGCTGTGGGGAGGCCGGGATCTCAGCCTGTGTCTGTGGGTTCCGGAAGTCCCTGGAGGCTGGAGGGCAGCGGGATGAACAGTGGGGTGTCGGGGAGAGACAGGCCTGGCTGTGTGGGTGGGGGGTCCCGACTCCACCCGGCCTCAGCGCCCTCCAGGGTAAAGCCCGCCTCCCCCCTCCCCCAGCCTCCATCCATGGAAGGGCCGGCAGGTGTCCCCAGCCCCCCACTCCGCAGGGCACCATTGCTGAGGGCCACCACGAGCCAGACGGTGCCGGCCACTCCGGCGTGCCGGTCGAAGACGCAGCGCGGCTGCTCCAGCGAGAACGTGGTGGCCGTGACCTTCCCTTCCAAGTCCCAGGCGGTCATCTGCGGCGTGTAGGGGATCTGCTCTGTGGCCGTGGGGGTCGAGTCTGAGCAGTGGCGGGTGCAGATGGGCCCCCCCGCCCCGGGCTCTGGACTGCTGCCCCACCCCCAGTCCTGGGACACCCCCCACCCCACTCACCCAGGCTGAGACACAGTAGCACCCAGCTCAGTCCCGCCAGGATCAGTAGCCACAGGCCAGGCCAGCTTCCCAGGAGCCTCATGACCGCCTGAAGCCTCAGGGGCTGCTCTGGCTGCCCCCGCCCCTCCCCGGACCTCGGGCCTGGACCAGCTGGTTAGTCAGGCTGCCCGGGAGGGGGAGGCCAGGGCATCAGCTCCTCCCTCCCCCGGGAGGAGGAGGAGGACTCAGCGCTGGAACCTGAGGCTCAGGGCCTCATGCCTGAGATTCCTGCTCCTCCGGTGCCAGGAGCCTCCCCCTGGCGCCCCATCCCCACCCAGGGAGCGCAGTGGGAGCAGAGGGCAGAGCGGCCGCACCCTACCTGCCCAGTCCTCGGGACGAACTTGCACCCTGACGGTGGTGACAAACCCTCCGCTCACGCTTGCTTCTTCCTTCTGCTTTTGTAGAGTTTTGGAGACGAAATTCACCTAGCACAGAACTCAAAGCTCAGTGGACTTCAGTATGCATCAGCCACCACCCCCACCCTCGCCATCCACAGCCCCAAAGTAGGAGACGGAAAATTCCAGAAATGGATGTGCTTCGTTCTGAGTGCCACAGCGCAACCTTGGGCCACCCTGCTGTGTCCAGCTGGGGTGGGGACGTGAGCCAGCTCTTGCCCAGCGTGTCCACTCTGTGGACACTGCCCTCCTGTGTGTCACCGGACTCTGCAGGGCTGAGCTTTCTGCTCTACGGGGCCTAATACGTAGGGAAAGTCATCGCATGTACGCACAGGAACACAGTCTCAGGCACTCAGAGGGCGGGGGGTCCGGGGAGGGTCCCGTCCTCTGCCAAGTTACTCCTTGTCCTGGGGACATCCTCTGTAGGTCACATGCGGCTTTTGGTGTCTGAATCCTCCCGTCCCGTTCAAGGCCGAGCAGCGTCCCACAGCGGGGACACGCCTCACTGGCCACTTCCTGCGGTTGGGCCACATTTTGGCCATGGTGGCCTGTCGCCGTGAACAGTGACCTACAAGCCTCTGGTGGGCACGCTCGCAGCCCGCAGGTGTACACCGAGGAGCGGGCCGCACCCGACGCCCCCTGCACAAGGTCACCGGGGTCTGAGGGTCCAGCTGTGTGCGTCCTGTCCTTCGGCACCTGGGCCATCGCGGTGGGCTGGGTTTGCGTGTCCCCGAAGGCTGACCCTGGCCACCTCCCTGTCTTACAGCAGCGTCCAAGTCCTTGTCACCTGCTGTTAGGCCTGCTGGCTTCGAGAGTTCCTGATGCTCTCACTCCGCGTCACGCATGCGAGTGCTGCCGGAGCTTCTCCCACCCCTGGCTCAGCCTCCCCGGGTGGGGGGAGCAGACGGGGGCCGCACTGGGGGTCCCCAGGCTCGAGGTCTGGGGTCTCCACCGGGGCCCAGCTGCCCTGTCCTCCAGGCCACTCAGGGCCCTGGCCCAAACACCCGCGCTGGCCTGTGCGAGGCCTGGACGTCCTACAATTAGAAGGGGAAAACGAACTGCTCAACGGGAAAAAACACATGCATCTTCCTACCAGAGGTTGCAAAATAGAATTTATTGTATTTTCAATAGAGAAGGGGGCTCCCAGAGGCAAAGGTGCCCCTGGCCCCCAACAGGCAGGCAGCAGGGTCCTGTCCAGGGCAGCTGACCGTCCTAACAGGGTCACGGAGTCGGGACGTGCAGGACGTGGTCACCCAGCCTGGCCTGGCCACCGGCCCCGGCTCTGCCACCCGACGCAGCTGAGCCTCGGCCAGCACCGCCCGCCCCTCCAAGCCCCCACTTCTCGGCAGCACACTCGCTAGCATGGGACGGCTGAGACGGGCACGGGCCCTGTGCAGGGGCTGACACACAAGTTCCACCGAGAGAGAGGGCAGCCCGGGAATGGCCGCTGTGGGCGTGCAGCGTGCAGGCTCGGGCCCCAGGGAGTGGCCCGCGTCCACGGCTCACAGGTGCTCCCGTCTGCTTCTCAGATGGGGGCTGAACGGGTGGCAGCTGAGACCCTGCTCCGATGCAGCGGGCACTTGGCCAGCCGCCAGTGGGGTTGGATCTCACACACACACACAGACACGCACACACACAGACACAAGACATGCACACGCGCGCACACACACACACACATACACACACGCTCTCTGCTGACAATCATCTCAGGGCCTGCTGACTTTGGCTATCGGGCATTTATTGCAAACAAAATCTGAGGTAAAAGAAGCTGACCTGGAACCCATGCCCGTCCCCGGCTGGGCTGGGTGGTCTCTGCCCCCGGCGGCGCCAGGCCCCAGGCCCCATGGCCCAACACAGCCTCCGGAGGACAGAAGGACCCAGCGCACTGAGGTAGCTGCGGCGTAAGCCCCACCAGCACAGCCTCGGGGCTGTCCGCTCCCCACACAGACCCCCGCCCAGAGGGGAGGGGGAGGGAGGCAGGGCCAGGCCGCAGTCTGGCTTCCCGGGGAGCACCCTTGTCCAACGTCCAGCCTCAGGAAGGCACCTTCCAGCCCGCCCGCCCGCCCGCCCGGGCAGCAGTGGGCGTCACTGCTGCTCCAGGCAGTCCTCGGTCACGCCCTGGGCAGCCAGCTCGGCCAGCACGTTGGGCAGGTAGTTGGGGTCGGGGTAGCCGTGGCCGGTCACGTTGCGGTCCATCTCGGTCTTGTGGTGGATCTCGTTCCACACCACCGTGTCAGTCTCGCCCGTGGTGCTGGACGTCCCGACCGTGAAGATGAGGCGCCTCTTCCAGGCCACTTTCAGGAGCTCCAGGACCTGCCGGGGACAGGGGGTGGGGCTGGGGCCCGGCGCTGGCAGGGGCCTCCACCATCACCCCACCTGGGCGCTAGACTCCGACAGCCAACCTGACAGCCCCACAGGCCCTCCCGCCTCGGCCACCAGCGCTGCCGTCCACTCGGGCTCCAGCCAGAACCCGGCACCCTCCCGGCCGAATCCTGGCCTCGCTGCCTCCGCCCCCGGCCACCAGCTGGGCCACCTCGAGCAGGGCCTCTGCGGCGCCCGGGGAGCTCTTCCGGACGGGGCACTAGTGCAGCCCCCGCAGCCGCAGGCGGGCTCCTCCCGCCCTCTCCTAGGAGGACTCCCTGGCTGTCCTGGGGGCCTCGTCCCGCGAGTGGCCTGTGGCCATCCTGACTTCAAGGCTTGCTGGGGGCCAGTCTCTCCTGCTCACTTGAGCCCCAGTGAAGGCCGGGCCACCTCTCCTTGGTCCTGGCCCCAGCACAGGTGCCCAGAAGCAGTGGCAGAGAGCGCGTGGGGCCTTTTACCTTGCGGCCCTGGGCGTTGTCTGGAAGATAGCACTGGCGGGGGAAGCCTCTGGCGGTGAATGGCTTTCCAGGGTTGGGGTGCTCGGGGCCCTGCAGGGACACACAGACAGCAGGAGGGAAGTGCTCCAGGAAGGCCCAACTGGCCAGCCACAGGGGCTCATAGTACATGGTCAGACCTCCTAGGCCAGGGACCACTCAAGCTCCCACGTGACCAGATACAGCCCAGCCCTTCAAGACCCAGTGTGAATGCGGCCCCACCCACATCTGCCCTCCCTGGAACCCACGCCCCTAGGCCGGGTCTGAGTCTGCTACCTTCCCCCTCCCCGTGGTACCAGGAACCCTGGAGACCACCCCCAATTCCTGGGCCTGGGCTTTTTTTTTTTTTTTTTTGAGCCCACCCATAACACCCATCAGGTGCCCCAAGAAATGGATGGAGGGGCCAGCTCTGTGGCGCAGTAGGTTAATCCTCCGTCTGTGGCACTAGCATCCCATATGGGCGCCGGTTCTAGTCCCGGCTGCCCCTCTTCCAATCCAGCTCTCTGCTATGGCACCCACATGGGATATCAGGAAGAAGCTCCTGGTTCCTGACTTCGGATGGGCACAGCTCTGGCTGTGGCAGCCATTTGGGGAGTGAACCAACGGAAGGAAGACTTTTCTGTCTCTCCCTCTCACTGTCTATAATTCTACCTCTCAAATAAATAAAATTAAAAAAAGAAAAAGAAATGGATGGAGCAGGGGCCCAGAGGCCAACTTGATGGACAGGCAGATGGGGTAAGGGGTGGAGCTACAGGGCCACACCCACATGACCCCTCCAGGGCGCTGTCAGGAGCATTCACTCTGAGCCCATGGAAGAGAAGGGAACCCCCACCCACACCCTGGAGGTGGGGGCAACCATGTGATTCAACAAAACCCACCCCTGTCCACGGGCCCGGTCCCCGCTGCCCCCAGTGTTCCCACCTGCTCCAGGCTTTGAAATCAGTCCTGGCTCAAAGCAGAACCGAAGTGCCAAACCTCCTGTCCCTGAGCCTCTGGGGCCTCGCGCTTGGATTCCCGACATCCAGCCCTGGCCCTGCCACTCCCATTCCTGCCTGGATCTGGCCACTGAGCTGGGCTCTCGGGAGCAAGGGTCCGGCCCTACTCCACAGCCCCTCCCCGCCGTGCTCGGGCACCCGGAGGGCTCCCCGGCTCGCCAAGCCCTCTGCTTGCCCTCTGCCGTGCTCAGGGCAGTGAAAACAACCCCCCTGGCTCAGGGAGGGGCTGAGCGCCACCTCTTTGCCGCCGCAGCCCCAGAACGCGGCACAGGGGCTCCTGAGGTCCAGTCCTGACCCTCCCTAGGCAGGCCTTCAGGGAGCTGGGCGTCCTGGCCCCGTCCGGGGCATGCTGGGAAAGGCGCGGGCCCTTACCTGGATGCCGTGAGCAATGCTGTAGACGATGAGTATCGTCCCGCAGTCCTCGTGGCCCGGGAGCGACACCTGGAACTTGAACACCTCCATCTTCCCCTGGGGCTGGGTCCCGGTCTTCTCTCCGTAGATGGCCTTGCAGGAAGGGCACTGCAAGCTGCCGTCCTGGAAGGAGGAGAGGCCCAGACTGAGGGGGAGGGGCAGGAGCAGGCGGCCCTCAGCGCCTGGAGCCCCGGAACTCCTGAATGGAGGCGCAAACGCAGCACTTGATCGGATGCACGCTGGCCGCGCGGGGCGGATGAGGCACTGCAGAGAGGACCCGCCGCAGGAGTCTGCCCCGCCTTCGACACTGATGGGAAAAACCACCTCCAGAGAAGGCAGCTCTTGGCGTGTTTACAGCACAGTTATCGATGAAGATATTGTTCCGAGCAAGGAAGTGCTGGGCTGCATTAACATCCTCGGGTGCGGCCTCCTTCTCTTAAATGAGGTGGGACTCTGGTGCCTGCTGGCCTTGAGCCCCGGGCCCCACTT